TCACAGATCATTGAGGTCAACTGCCCCTGCCTCTCAACGTTATTGTGAGGATTCAGATGATTATGAAAATGCTTAACATAGCACTCAGCACGTGTAAGCACGGTTAGCAGGAGCTACCACATTATCAGGAAAAACTGGAAATAAAAGACAAGTGCTGGTGAGGATGTGGAGAAATCGGACCCCTGTGTGCTGTTGGGAGGAATGCAAAATGGTGCAGCTGCAGTGTAAAACAGTACAAAGGGTCCTCAAAATATTAAAACTGGCACTACCGTATGATCCAGCAATCCAACTTCTGGGTAGTTTATCCAAAAGAACTGAAATCAGGATTCAAAGAAATATTAGAAATACTAGCACTCCCATGTTCACTGCAGAACAAGTCACAACAGCCAAAATGTGGAAACAACCTAAGTGTCCAATAGCAGATGAATCAATAAAGAAAATGTGGTGTACACATATAATGGAATACTATTCATCCTTTAAAAAGAAAGGATTCTCCAATATGCAATAACATGGATAAACCTTGAGGACATTATGCTACGTGAAATGAGTCAGTCACAGAAAGACAAATACTGCATGATTCCACTTATATGAGGTCATCTAAAATAGTCAAATTCATGGCACCAAAGAGTAGAATGGTGGTTGCCAGTGGGGGAGAAAGGTAATTGCTTACCAATGGCATAAAGTTTCAGTCAAGCAAGATGAATAAGCTTTAGAGATCTGCTGTACCACACTGCATACACCTATATTCAAAAATATATTTTGTATACTTAAAAATTTGCTAAGAGGGAAATCTCACATTAAATGCTCTCCCCACAGTAAAATAAACTTAAAATGAAAGTTAATTTTTTTTTTTTTCAATTTTAAGAAAACTGGAATGAAATTTAACTACTGGGCCAAAAAAAAATAAAACAACCACTTCACCAGTCCCTTCCCTGGTGCCCAGCTGCAGGGCAAATGGGTGTTTTGCTCCTCCCTAAATGGCTAAGGCTTCGAGACAATGTGTTCATCTCTGAACATCACCCCATCACCACCATCTTCCTTCCTGCCACTCCTTGAACAAAGGAAATGGAAAAGTGGGTGTGTCTCATCAGGAGTCTGCTTCAATGATGCTCACAGAAAATGCAGGACTGGGGGCAGTTAGGAGAAGAAGTAAACTCTTGAAATGATTTTAAACATCCCAGTAGCCCAAACCCAGCAATTCTTTTCATGTGTCTATCTTTAATTATCCTAACACCTATAAAAGGGGGCTAATGATACTGTAAGGATTTAAAGCTATTAAGTAAATTAAAGTCAAGTGCCGGATTGCTGAGTTTTATAAGGGATTGTTGAGCCTGTATCAATGCCGAAAGCATTGGAAAGGAAAGATTCTGAGAAAACCAACTAAAACGGTGAATCAAGCCAATGGCCCTGGGCCTGGAGAATTCCTGGAGACTCTTGAACTTCCAGATGCAGAAAGCTGGGGATAATAAAAGGGCGGAGCACCAGAAGCCTCTGAATTTGAATGAAGTTAAAAAATGTCATTCTCAAAAGTCAATATTGATGAGGCATCCTCTGAGGAGCTCTCAGAAAATGTAGGCTCCTGGGCCTGCTCCCAGGGGTTCTGAAGCAGGAAGTCTGGTGTGAAGCCCAGGAATCTGCATTTTTATAAGCACCTGGCTTGTCTCCACACAGGTGGCCCAAGTCCACATGTTGGCAAACATGGGTGGCCTTTCCCACAGTTACATTCAGTCACTTTTGTTTGTGGGTTATGAATACTTCTCCTTCAGTGAGAGATCAGAAAAGAAGCAACAGAACTTTAAGCCTGGAAAACTTTCAGGATAATTAATAGAGATTGGTTACTTGCTGGAAAATGAAGTATTCATCTACACATGCCATGGACTGGTAAAAATAAATTATGTTCAGTTGATTTAATATTTCTCTGAGATGGAATAAATTCAATGGCTGAGTGAAAGGCAACAGGCTGACTATCTATCACCTGAGGTTAGCAGTTAAGATAATATTTCAACCACCCATCTTGACAGGGAATCTTAGACCAAGAACATAATAGGACAACTAAATCTAGGAATATATACCAGGAAGGGTTAAATATAATCCCATCTGCAAGATGCTACTACTGCTCTCCATAAACCCAGGAAGAGGTGGTGGGGTCCAAGGTAGCCTAATATATCCAGAAATAACTTGAAAGATAGAGTGGAGATGATGCAAATCAAACCTTAGACACAAAAATGGCAGGGACTGTGAATCTGTAGAGAATGCAATGTAACTATTGGGCAATGTCTTTAAAATTTGCCTTTATTGAATCTTGTATATTGAAGTCACATATTATTGTATCTCTTTATTGAGACTCAATAGGGCCAAATGCAGAGTGATTTATGGAAGAAGGAATAATCAAATGCATAAGCAGAAAGAGCACACACCTGGAGAGGAATTAGCACAGGGTCAGGACAGGCACTGCGTGGGAAGCAGCTGAGACGGGGCACAGTGCACTGAGATGGCCAAATACTTCTATTCTCTACTGACGCAAGCTGTGTTAGCAGCCAAGGTATGAAAGAAACAAGGAAATATGTCTATTATTCTTTGAGCCACTTGGCCTTGGTGCTACTTCCAGTGGGACTCCTGAACTTAAATGTAAACTGGGAGGGAAGGCCTCCAGAATAGACAAAATGCTCATGTGCCTATTTTGGGGGGAAACGATGCACAAAAGGTAAAGGGCTTGTAGGAGAGAAAAATTTCAGCTCCTATTAAGAAGAAACAATCATTCAAAGCATATTTGGAATCATGGAAGAAAGGGCAGCTTCCGGTAATGCCATCATCCCTGGGGACATTCAAGGAAGTGACCAGACACTTCTCTACTTAGGAAGCATTAGAGATTATTAAAAGCATTACTCGCTCAGTTCGGGGGTGGGGAGTGGGCCTCATGACCTCTCCAAAGGTCATTCCTATCCCAAAGGATCACATGTCTGAAGGGCACCAGCCAAAAATAAAGTCTATTAATCTCTGAGCTGCCCACACAATTTCCTAAGAGAGCAAGAAGAGAGAGGGCAATTTACGGTGGACTTTGCTCTGCTGAGGAAGGAAAGGGAGGCAGCACCCTTGGGGGCAGGGCCAAGGAATAGGCTGCTGAGACGTCCAGAAAGTCAACATCAGGCCCATAACTAGGCCTCCCAAGCACCATAGAGTAAACAAGAGGGAAACAGACCTGTGCAGAGGGGCCAGGAAACAGAAACAGCACTGACGGCTCCTAAGCACAGCCACAGGATTTGGGGGAGAGGATGTGATGCGAGCACCCTGCACAGAAAGCAGGAAGCCGCGCCAGAGAGGGAGCCCCCTGAGGGCCCTCCATGGAGGTGCCATGGAAGGAGGTGGACGTGAGACAAAAGAGCAAAGAGAGGTGCTTCAAGGTGGGTGGAGAAGGGCACACAGGGTGTGTCTGATAATATATGGGATTATTAGTGGCTGAGAATTAAATGAAAACTGGAGAGAAAGAGCACAAAGTCCCACTATCTGTGGTAGCAGAACATCCCATAAGGAAAATAAAGCTTGTAAAAGAGGAATTGAATGTCAATACCCCAGTTCCCATGCAGCTATTGGCATTCCTGAGAGCTGGGCTGCTACAGCCAGGCACAACTGGAAAGCCTGCCCCATGGGGGTCTGAAGGACCCTTCACAACCCAGAACCAGTCTCCAGAGAGCTAGCATACCCAGGCTTTTATGCATTAAAACAAAACTGAACCCATCCAGGAAGCCAGACCCAGGCCGAAGCAGGTACCTCCTGATATTGCCAAGAGACAGCAGACCCCATGCCCTGCTTGGGATGGAGATGTTACCTGCAGGAGTTGTCTCAGGAATGTCATCTGCATGGTGTATTAAGCAGCCAAATGGGGGTCATGGAGTTTGAGTTCTTCTAGCAAAATGTTCTCCAACCAGCTGTCACCCCACCGGGCATAGAACAACTTTTTGAAATCAAAAGAGGCCAGTGAAGAAGGAGGAAAACAGCACCATCCCTGATGTACTTCCTGTGCCCCATCTTCCCTGTTCTCTCCTGCTCTCACGGAGGCTGCAGACACTGGCGAGATGGGCAGGGCACCAGGAGGGACCACCATGCAGGGCCCTGCCCTGCCCACTGCAGCAGCCCCTTTCTGCCCACGGTAGAGCTCTGCATCCTCAGAGAGAAGACTGGAAGGGAATATGGTCAGGGAGTACGGCTTGGAGCGCTGCTCTTGTCATGGGATGAGCAGACGGTGCCTGATACAGTGAGAAGACACTGCAGGGAGGACTTTAAACCTACCACCCAACGCCCTGGTAGGAACGACAAAAGCCCTCTTGAGCTGACAGCCACGCCTCAGCAAGCTGCAGGTTTCTGGAGGTTCTTTCACCGCCACTGCTCCCTGCTGCTCTCTCCCTCAGCCCCTCCCCAGTTCTGTCTGCAGACCCTAAACCCAGGGGCCAGGCAGACACTTTTCCAAAAGATACTTCTGAAGTGAGCAAGAAAGGCTGGAGATGGATCAGGGGCCATTTATTAAACTAAGTCATTGTCAGAGAAAGATTCATAACTTGCCCTACCTAGGACAGGGGAGAAGAGAGAGAGAAGGAAATCGGAGAGAAACAAACGAAAAGCCATAGAGCCAAGTGCCTTTGTGGGAGGATTTTGAGTTATGCTTTTGTTTGTGACTCTGAAATAAAGAAAGAAATAGAGGATGAATCTTAAGAAGACAGAGTGAAAGAAAAAGAGCCAGAGGAAAGGCATGAAGGAGGGCACTGCCTGAGGGAGGAGCACGGCCTCAAAGGTAGGGAGGCCTTCCTGGCTGGCTTCTCCCTCGTGCAGAAGCCCCCGGGGCCAGAGCAGCGGAGGAACTGGTAACAGGTGAGGGGCGGGCATGCCAGCTGGGGGTGCAAGGCCTGAGAAGAGGAGCCAGTGAGCCTGCGGGGTGCTGGCGGCCAGGGCAGCACAGGGAAGGGGGACAGGTACAGGGCAGGAAGGCGGCGTCTGCCCATACTTACTGTCACAGACGTAAGGTTTGTCGTGGTCTTCCTGCGAGGCGGCGTCATGCCTCCTCCGGCCACCTGCAGAGCCTCGTGCCTGGGGAGACATGGGGGTATGGGATGCTTGTTACTATGACAATCACTACAGCCCTCAGCACCTCGCCACACCTCCTCATTCAACCTTCATCACGACATGTAGACCAATAGCAACCCCATTTTACAGGCCAGCAAACTGAGGCCCAGAGAGGTTAGGTAACTGGCCCTAAATCACTCAGGTACTCACCTGTATGATCTTATTAAATCTGTCTGCACAGCTTGAAGAGAGAAGCACTACTATTAAGTCCATTTTACAGAATAGGAGGGTAAGGCAACTGAGGGGATAAGTAGCTTGCCCTGCATCACTCAGACTACGGGCAGAGCCAGAACGTTAACTCAGGACAGTGTGGCTGCAAAGTCTGTAGCTACCAAATTCTCATACTCCACTGGAGCCACTTTTCCAACTCCTTGTTCTTCTGGCTTCACTGACACCACAGGTAGATGCCCACCCCACCCTCCTCAGCCGGCCACAGGATGGGTATGTTGGGAGCAAGCAGTGAGCTGCAGGCATCACCCCGCACCTGCATTTGTGTCGTCCCACTCAGGCCTCTCACGATCCAGCCAGGCCTGGCACCCGGGCCCAGGGCATGAGCCCTGGGATGTAGGGAGCTGCCTCTCCCCTGCCTGGCATCCTCCACATGGGTGAGCTCCCACTAAGCCCTCCCAGTATGGTCTGTCTGCCTCTTGATACCCACCTAAGGTCACCACCAGAGGAGCCTCTCCACAAAGGGTCGGCATAACCTGGGGTGGGGCTGCAATTGGCTCGACCTCCAAGGGGAGAAGAGACGAGGAGGGAGCTGCTGCTCTGCAGCCTTGGACAGTGGCTCCAAGAACACGGCAAGGCTTATTCTTAAACCTCCGAGAGGCCCACACTGGTCGTGTGGGTATGCCCTAACCGCCTCCGGGTTGCTCGTTCATACTCCACTGGAGCCACTTTTCCAACTCCTTGTTCTTCTGGCTTCACTGACACCACAGGTAGATGCCCACCCCACCCTCCTCAGCCGGCCACAGGATGGGTATGTTGGGAGCAAGCAGTGAGCTGCAGGCATCACCCCGCACCTGCATTTGTGTCGTCCCACTCAGGCCTCTCACGATCCAGCCAGGCCTGGCACCCGGGCCCAGGGCATGAGCCCTGGGATGTAGGGAGCTGCCTCTCCCCTGCCTGGCATCCTCCACATGGGTGAGCTCCCACTAAGCCCTCCCAGTATGGTCTGTCTGCCTCTTGATACCCACCTAAGGTCACCACCAGAGGAGCCTCTCCACAAAGGGTCGGCATAACCTGGGGTGGGGCTGCAATTGGCTCGACCTCCAAGGGGAGAAGAGACGAGGAGGGAGCTGCTGCTCTGCAGCCTTGGACAGTGGCTCCAAGAACACGGCAAGGCTTATTCTTAAACCTCCGAGAGGCCCACACTGGTCGTGTGGGTATGCCCTAACCGCCTCCGGGTTGCTCGCCGGGCAGGAGCAGCTGTGAACGCCCCTCCAGGGAAAGGGCCTTCTGGGCTGTGTGGGGGCAGACAGGGCGGTGCAGCAGAGAAGGAAAACACTGCAGCAACCTGGAGTGTGGGGGAAATGGGGCAGTCCTAGGGGCCTGGCCTGGAAAAGTGGCCCTGGAGTCCAAGGATCGAAGGCCTACGATGCCCACACACACATGCACACGGTCACTGGAGCTGCACAGGGGAAAGGCCTCTACCCCAGCCCTGGGAGGCTCACACACACACTCACAATCAACACCACCTGCCAGGCTACTACCTCCACCACCTCCTCAGCTTGTCTCTCCCAAACGAATTAGAGAATTCCTCCTCCTCCACCTTCCCTCCCTGGCACCACTCTGCCTCTCTGCCGCCCCGCCCCCACCCCTGCACACACGACAGCCAGCAGCCCCCTCCCCTGGCCCTCATTACTCAGAGGTGACCCAGAGAGGGAGCTGTGAGGTGCTGGCAGTCACCCTGAGGCACCGGCAAGCCTCCCGCCTGCCCAGAGCGGAGTGTGGTCACCCCCAGATGCCCTTGGCCCCCAGGGTAAAGCCAAGGACAGCCTGAAGCGTGCAGCCCGCATCCCTGTGACAGCCACCTCAGAGCAGGGAAGCAAGTCGGGGAGGGGCTCTGAGAGACTACAACACTGAGCGGAGGAGACAGTAAGGCTTCCATTTCCCTCTGCAGGCTGACCAGCAGGGCCACAGCACTCCCACACTCTCCCTGTACCTCGGTTTCCTCAACTGCAAAATCAGGGTCCTGGCCTTTGGGCAGGAAGGGACATGCACGGATTCTTCTGCGGCAGCAGTGCTGAGTCCCCTGTCATATCTCAAGCTTGGAAACTCAGATTCCTACTTGCTTGCTCAAATGTCACCTCCTCAGAGAAGCCTTCCCTGACCACCTTATGTCCATTCAGACCCTCCCTCTCGTTCTCTTCCCCTGCCCTGCTTTACGTATCATCCCGGCACTTAGCCTTGTCTGACTTTGTATTACATGTACATTGTTACACTGGTTGGTTTTCTGTCTGCCCCACACGAGGGTGTACAACATGTCTATTTGGGCCACCGCTGGTCTTAGGACCTGGCCCATTAAGAAACACTTAATAAACATTTGCTGAATCAACACATCAGTCAGTCAGTGAGGGAGCTTATCACCTCTGGTGGTTCTCCTTCCTTCTCTGCACCCAAGTGCTATCATTCCTTCCTGCAAAGGCCATCTTAGGCTTTGCATTTCCCTTCTACTGCACACTGCCATCCAGGAGTTCATCAAATGACCCCTGAACTGCTCAAAGCCAGCAGCTGGGGCTCCACCTCTGCAGTTCCCTACCCGATCCATCCTGCATGACTCCCAGACCAACCAGACTAGAGGAGAAGGACAGAACCCTCGGTCATTCATTCACCCACAGCCATCTAAAACCCACCGACACCGCCAGTGGTCACCTACTGTCAGCATTAGGTTCACCTCATGTTCTTGTTTTGTCCAATGAAAATATCTTTTTTTCACTGAACCCTGTCATAGGCCAGCCTCGCCTCTGTCCATCCCCATCAGATCCATGGTTCAGCCCCACTAACATCCCACCCTCTCACAAATCTTCCTCTTGACACACTGAAGAGTAAGAAGAGCACCAGCTTTAAAACCAGACAGACAGGTTTAAACACCAGCTATGTGTCTTTGGCCAAGTGATTTCTCTGAGCTTAAGTTTTCTCAGCTCTAAAATGGGCACAGCAACACCTTTACTGCATTTGTGGAGAGAGTTAGAGCAAAGGGTGTGCAAAACCACAGGGGACAGTGATAGGTCTACAGGAAGTGCTCAATAAAGTATTTCACCTCCTTGCCCAAGTTGATCTCTCTCTTCTCTGAACTCTTACTGCATTTGTCTAGTGCACAGGCACAGTCAGAAGCCTGCGGCTTTCTAATTGTATTGTGGCTATTGGCATTTTCTCCTCAGTTTAATTGCAAGGTCCCTGAGAGCAAAGATGACATTTCATACTTTCTTATGAACCCTTCAATACTTAGCACTATACTGGGCTCATAGTACCCAAGCTCTTTTGCATATATTAGTTCAGTTAATACCTACAATACACTACACATTAGAGCCAATAACATTATTCCATTTGGGCCTTGATGAGACAGGTTCTGAGAGAGTTCATGACCTATTCAGTCCCAGAGTCAGTAAGGAGGAGCGAGAACTAGGATTCCAGACTGCTAAAGAAAACTTTAGAGCTGACTATCCATAAGAAACGGCTCCCTCTCTGAAAACAACTGCCCACCGCACTCCACTACTTCCTACTCCACTGCCCATTCAGAAACTGGAGGGCCATGACTGCCGTGATTGTACCACATGGCCCTGCCCTACTGGCCACAGCTGATTGGCTGGCTCAGGAGTAGACACCTGATCTAAGCTGGGCCAATCAGAGTCTACCTCCAAGGGACTTGGAAGTGACCCTAGTTAGTACAGGCCCCTTGAACCTGGGACCCATAAATTCAGGAACTAGACCCCATGTGCACAGAAAAACAGGAAAGGCAGTCTTTCAGGAGAAAATAGAGGGGGAAGTAGAGGCCAGAAAGCTGCCTAGGTTCCTTACTCTTTCCTAAATCTAACTCTCTGCCATTTTCTTACCCTTCCTGAGGTTTGAAACTTCAGATTGCTCAAATTTGGGAAAATGGACCAGCAACTTTTCAAATTCTTCCCGTTTTCACTTAAGCTGTTGAGTTTCTTGCAATTAAAAGACCCTCAACTAGGACAGGCTCAGAGAGCTAGTTCCTCTAAACCAGTTTTTCTCATATAGCAGTTCAGGGATCCTTGAGGGTCCCTAAGACCTTTTCAGGGAGTCTGCAATGTCAAAACTCTTTTTATAATAGTACTAAAATGTCATTTGAATTTTACATGCTTATTCTCTCACAAGTGCACAGTGGAGGTTTCCAGAGGCTACCTGATGTGATGATGTCATCACTCCATGTGCTCACACATTTATAAGTTTAACATTTTTGGGCTTTAATTTCTTATGGAACAAGTATCACTAGTTATAACCCACCAGAGCAGTAGCTCTTGGGGGCTCTCAGCAATACTTAAGCAAAGAATTTCTGAGATCGAAAAAACCTGAGAACCACTACTCTACACCTGTACAATTTTAAGTGTGGTCCTCGGAACAGCAGCCCTGGCATTACCTGGAAGCTTATTAACCAGGTAAAGTCTCAGTCCCCATCCTCTACTTACTGCATCAGGATTTGTCCTTTAACCAGACCACCAGGTACTTCATATGCATATTAAAGGTTGAGAAGCACCACACTATACCACAGTGCATCAATAAATACCTACTGATTGATTGACTGATCAAATATACTCACATGGATGACTTACAGGAATTTTACGTATTTTAAAGAGCTTGAATTTCTTGGGCTAAAGGTACCATAAACACAATTAATAATTGTTGGGTCTGAATTTTCCTCACTCCACAGGGAGTCTCCATTGTCAACACTCTGAGAGTTGTTCCCTTTGCTTGCATCCTCTTAATAATATCTAGCCTTTATTAAGCACTCAAATTGGCTGTGTATTATTACTCCCATTTTAATAATGAAGAAACTGAGGCCTACTTATATATTTTGGTTTGGGTCACAGAGGTTATATAATTCACCCAAAATCTAGTAAGTGGTGGAGCTGGGATTTGAACTCATAGTTCAAAAAAGGCAGAGGCTATTCTTATAATCACTACCTTAGCCCTAGCTTCCTCGGTAGGCACACACAAAGCACCTGGGGGTCTTGTTAAAGTGCAGTTTCTAATTCAGTCCATCTAGGGACCTGTCTGGTCGGGGGTCCTGCATGTCCAACAAGTTCCTGGGCGATACTAATGCTATAGACCAAGGACCACATGAGGTGAGACAGCCTCTCAGTCCTGACAGTAGAAATGGGAGCATTGCTCTCTAGAAACCAGCAGCAGCTTGAATAGGCCACTTCAAAGGGCATCTTAACTGGCAGTGTGGGTGAAGCAGCCTCACACACTCAAGCTCATCACACCCTCCCAGGCCACCCCTGGCTCCCACCATGGGGGACACACCCACAGTGTCACTGCACAACTTGGAACCATTCAACTGCACCATGGCCAGCATCAAGGAGGCCCAGAGCTAGCCTAGGTCCCATCCAACTCCCTAACTATGTTCAGGCCTTCTTTCACCTCCCACAAAGTTGAAATGTAACTTTCCTTTTTTTCCATCATTCAATCATTCATTCAACAAATTGGTCATTGACCACATGAAGGGCACTGGGCCAGGTATGACTTCGTAGAAAAGGCAGAAACCTGGCTTCAAAGCATAGACCTGATGTTCAAATCCTGGCTTCTCTTTTACTAGGTTGGATCAACTTGAGCGAGTTATTTAATACCAGCTTACAGGAATAGGAATGGAAGAAGTAGGGCTGGCCAACAGGTCACTTTAAATTTTCAAGTAGCCACATTTTTAAAAAGGAGTAAAAACAGGTACAATTAATTTTAGTAATATATTTAACCCAATATATTCAAACTATTATCATTTCAATATACAATCAATATAAAAATACTAATGAGATGCTCACTCTTTTCACACTGTCTTCAAAATCTGGTGTGTCTCTTACATTTACAGCACATTTCATTTGAACTAGCAACATTCAACTGCTGAACAGCCACATGCAGACAAGGGCTGCCATAAAGGAGAGTGCAGAAATAGAGACCCCAGTATAAACTACATAGTCGTCACTGTCTACATGGTGGCTCTTACTGTAAGGAGCCTCATCACACTGTCAAGTGTAGACATTACTGGGGTGCCCAGCAAGTATAAATGGCTGCTACCTCTGTTGTTGGTGTTCTTAGAGAAAAAACACCAATTCACATCCACCGACTGGGGGTTCAGTTGTCTATATGTAGGTTGGGAGTGGAGAAGATATGAAGAGGACCATTCTCCACAATCTACTTGAGTAAATTTGGTTTAGGCTGAGGGAGCCCCGTAGGCACACAACCCTTTGAGTTAACACAAGGCCCAGAAATTCCACGTCCTGAAGCATCCTTTAATAATGGAACTGGATATTCATTATGTTGGAGCTCCCAGTGAAGTCATGAGTCTAGGCAAGTTCGTCAGTGGCTGCTACAACAACTGGATAAAAGCTTGATGGGGTACTTCATAAGGAGACATCAGGCTGACAGCCCCAAATCCTGTGATCAGCTTTCACCAGTGAAAGCAGAAAAACTGGACAACAGAGGTCCCCTGACATGGCACAATAAGCACACATCACCACCTAGGAAGATTCTTCTTCTACCAAATAAAAGGTTTCCATACAGACATAAATACCCTGAGTCAAACCAAATCTCTCTCATCAAACCACAAGTTTTCAGGAAATAAAGAGGATACAGGGACACATTAAATGCTACCAGCCCACCCAATCTAGAATGTGAGAAATCCTCTAAGATGAACTGCCCAAGTGCTTCAACAAATAAATGGCATCGAGAAAAAAAAATACATTGTGTGGTAGGATATAGCACAGAGAAGGTATGCTTTAGAATACAAGAGGCTTAAGTTTCAAATAAACCACCTGTAAAAAGGCATTTTTGAGAAAATCTGGGGGAAATGATCAGAGACTGGATATAGATATTAGACTAGTTGTTATTTTTATTGGTAGGATGATGATATCTGTTAGAGATATACATTGGGGTATGTGCAGGTTAAATAATAAAATGTCCAGGACTTGTATTCACATATTCCCCAAAATTTAAATATACAAACCAACAAAAAGCGGGAGTAAAGAAGAGAGAAAACAAGATAATGAAAACACTGACCCTTGCTGAAGCTGGGTGGCCACTATATGAGGTGCGCAGCCTCAGAGGGCTGCCCTGCCCTGCCTGAGGCCCCCGCCCGTCAGCAGGTCGGAGCATCTTAGGTCAGCGTGGGCAGAACCAGTCACGTAGGCACTGCTTATGACATAGCTTCCCAGGTCCCACCCCCGTCCTCCTAAGCCAGACCTCCTGGGAATGGGTCCTGGGAACCTGCATTTTGATAGGCTCTCCTGCTGATTCTGACATACACAAGGCCCAAGAAACAGGGGAATAGAGAGGCGCACTACAGTCACCACTGGATCCAAACCCACAGAGCACCCAGGACTGGCTTCTTATCTGGGGGAGAGGTGAAGGCCCTGCCTAGAGCCTGCCGGAGCCAGATGGAAAGCAGCATTGGCCTGCGGAGGCCCCTCTTCACCACTTGCTGTCAGACGCCCTGGCAGACCCGTGAAGATGACCACCCAAAGCCCACTTGGGCTTGAACATGAGGACCCTGGGCAGCAACCTGAATGCCTGGGAGCAAGCCCCCAGACTTGGCTCCCTCCCCTCAAGGACCACTCTTCTACCATGGATTTCCCCTCTAACATTCCCCAGGCTTCTGGCCTTTTCTGCCACATTCCAGGACCACAAGCCTCCGGAGCCCCTGCTTTGCCCACTCAGGGACCTCTGGCTGTGGCCCCATGCTTTCCCAGCATGACCCTGCTCTCTGCCTAGAGATCAATCTACTTGAGTAAATTTGGTTTAGGCTAAGGGAGCCCCGTAGGCACACAACCCTTTGAGTTAACACAAGGCCCAGAAATTCCACGTCCTGAAGCATCCTTTAATAATGGAACTGGATATTCATTATGTTGGAGCTCCCAGTGAAGTCATGAGTCTAGGCAAGTTCGTCAGTGGCTGCTACAACAACTGGATAAAAGCTTGATGGGGTACTTCATAAGGAGACATCAGGCTGACAGCCCCAAATCCTGTGATCAGCTTTCACCAGTGAAAGCAGAAAAACTGGACAACAGAGGTCCCCTGACATGGCACAATAAGCACACATCACCACCTAGGAAGATTCTTCTTCTACCAAATAAAAGGTTTCCATACAGACATAAATACCCTGAGTCAAACCAAATCTCTCTCATCAAACCACAAGTTTTCAGGAAATAAAGAGGATACAGGGACACATTAAATGCTACCAGCCCACCCAATCTAGAATGTGAGAAATCCTCTAAGATGAACTGCCCAAGTGCTTCAACAAATAAATGGCATCGAGAAAAAAAAATACATTGTGTGGTAGGATATAGCACAGAGAAGGTATGCTTTAGAATACAAGAGGCTTAAGTTTCAAATAAACCACCTGTAAAAAGGCATTTTTGAGAAAATCTGGGGGAAATGATCAGAGACTGGATATAGATATTAGACTAGTTGTTATTTTTATTGGTAGGATGATGATATCTGTTAGAGATATACATTGGGGTATGTGCAGGTTAAATAATAAAATGTCCAGGACTTGTATTCACATATTCCCCAAAATTTAAATATACAAACCAACAAAAAGCGGGAGTAAAGAAGAGAGAAAACAAGATAATGAAAACACTGACCCTTGCTGAAGCTGGGTGGCCACTATATGAGGTGCGCAGCCTCAGAGGGCTGCCCTGCCCTGCCTGAGGCCCCCGCCCGTCAGCAGGTCGGAGCATCTTAGGTCAGCGTGGGCAGAACCAGTCACGTAGGCACTGCTTATGACATAGCTTCCCAGGTCCCACCCCCGTCCTCCTAAGCCAGACCTCCTGGGAATGGGTCCTGGGAACCTGCATTTTGATAGGCTCTCCTGCTGATTCTGACATACACAAGGCCCAAGAAACAGGGGAATAGAGAGGCGCACTACAGCCACCACTGGATCCAAACCCACAGAGCACCCAGGACTGGCTTCTTATCTGGGGGAGAGGTGAAGGCCCTGCCTAGAGCCTGCCGGAGCCAGATGGAAAGCAGCATTGGCCTGCGGAGGCCCCTCTTCACCACTTGCTGTCAGACGCCCTGGCAGACCCGTGAAGATGACCACCCAAAGCCCACTTGGGCTTGAACATGAGGACCCTGGGCAGCAACCTGAATGCCTGGGAGCAAGCCCCCAGACTTGGCTCCCTCCCCTCAAGGACCACTCTTCTACCATGGATTTCCCCTCTAACATTCCCCAGGCTTCTGGCCTTTTCTGCCACATTCCAGGACCACAAGCCTCCGGAGCCCCTGCTTTGCCCACTCAGGGACCTCTGGCTGTGGCCCCATGCTTTCCCAGCATGACCCTGCTCTCTGCCTAGAGACATGCACCCCAAAGCAGGTGTCCGGACCTTGTCATTCTGGGGCTGCCCCAGGGACAGGAAACTTTCAGCCTTCTTTTACAACCAAGTAATGGGGACAACATTCATATTCTCCTCATTCCCCACCCTCACCTGAACCCCACCCCAACCTTCCCCAGACCCTCAGTGTCCCCTCCAGGCACTGTCTGCTGCCTCTTCCTCTTGCCAGCCCTAAACTTGCAGGCTATCACCTGGGACCAGGGCTCTTCTGGAGTTTTCCTTTGTGGGTATTCTGGAAGGAAGACCATGGATATGATCTCTACTGGTTGCAGTGGGACTTAGAACCTGAGGGCCAGATTTTTTTCCCAGCCTCGGCCTCCCTGGTCTCTTCCCCCCTCACGCAGCCCCAGCTTACCCGCCCTCTGGTCCTGTTCTTTCGCTTGGGAACATCCTCTTCTAAATCCTCTTCTTCATTTCCTTCTTCTACATTTTCATCATTTTCCAGAACCCTCTGAAATGACAATAAATAGAAGGGTTGAGAGATAAAATTCAAAGGAAAAAATCATCAGGGGGTAATTTGGGGGGTGTTTGTTTTGTTGTTGTGTTTTAGCAAAGTGAAGATGCTCCCCCCTCCTTGGGAAGGAGCATCCCCGAGAAGCTGCCCGGAGTCTGAGCTCTCGGTGATACCAGCTCCTCTTAAATCCTGGGTTCCTTCCAACCAGGTCCAACCAGAACACTGAACATTTCCTTTTTTTTTTTCTTTGTTGTGCCCAAGAAGAATTTTCTAAACAGATAGTGCTCTGGTAGGGGCACTCTTCTATGTGGACCCAAGATGGTCTGCCAAAATTTACTTTCCTTAATGTAATTTTTCCTGTTATTCTGAAACCCTGCCCTTTTGATGAAAACAAGTTAACTTCTTGTTCATCTGACCAGAATTTGACATTAATGTGTTGTTCATAATCATTCTTTTCCCAAGGAAGATGAATTTTCATGATAGCACATTACTTGTAATGGAGCTTAAAGATCATAAATTTAATTATCTCTCTCCAATAGCCCCATGAGTCACACTGCAGCAGAGAATCCAATTTCCATTTTACAGGTGAATAAACTGAGGCTGAAAACTCTCTTGGCTACCCAAGGTCACACAGCAAACCCATGGCCAACGCGGTCAGGTTAAGCAGCTCAGTTTCCCATTCATTTCTCAGCCCTGTGTCTCAAGATTCTAAGGTGTATTATGGCAGACCCTTCCTGTAGGGACCTGAGCACTTCACTCCCTGTAGGGGAGGGGAGGAAGGGTAAGGTGTGTAGCTCACTGTTGAAGGGAGAGAGAGAAGATTATGGCAGAGGACAGAGCCCCAGGAGTGGGAATGGGCATGGGGTCCTGGGGGCTTCTTCATGTGCTCAGTGTGCGACACTGGGTGAGTCATCGTCTCTTCATGCCTCAGTATCCCCAGTTATAAAATAAGAATTCACTCATTTATTCAAACAACAAACACTGGTCTAGGGCTGACTACACAGCAGGTGCTGTGCTAGATAAGCCACAAAATGGCTGCAGTTCTGGCCCCAAATGGTCTGTATAGTGAAGGGAGGACAGGTTTACACAGCAAACACAGCCATAGAATTACAACTGCTGTAAAAACAGCGACAGGCAAGTCTGAGCTGCTCAGAGAGGCCATTAGAGGGAATTATACTAATCTTACCTGAGGAAGTGACCTAAGGGGGTTCACATATAAAGGATAAGCAAAGACTTAACTTTAGGAATGGGGACTGAAGGGGGCAGGAAGGGCAAGTATTCTAGGCAGAGGGAACAGCATAAGCAAACTCCCTGAGGCGGGGAGAAGAACACGGCTTGTCCAGGGAGCAGAAAGAGGCCATCACAAGCAGAGCCAGAGGCCCAGTGGGGAGACTGACATAGCTGAGGCTAGCAGGGTGGGCAAGCACCATGTTGTCTATACAGGACAACAGCATCCACACATCCTTGTGTGATCACACAGCCGACAAAAAGGCACAGAAAGCAGCGCACATGGCACTGACACGGGGTATCGCCAGCACTGTTCCTGCGGCCTCCGGCCTGTCCGAGAACCAAGTTTCCAGGACCTTCTCCCACTGTTCCTGTCTTCTCTGTTCTAACCACAGGGGTTGGGATGCTGCTGCTTACCAAACCCCACAAAGAAGTCAAGCTAGCCAAATTCTTCCCTGGCTTCTCTACTGGCTTATTTGGAAGCCATCCGCTGACAGCACCTGTGGGTGTCTGGGCCAGCCACAGCCATCTACCAGAGACGTAGCATTGTCTGCTGGACGGCCCTCTGGCCTGCAGCAGGAAACACCAGCCCAGGTCCACAGCAAGCCTCCTGGCCTCCCTGCACCTTGGCTCCCTGAACCGCAGGCGCAAGCATGAATAAGAGTCAGTCAGGACGATGACAAGTCCCCTGCGCTCAGCCTTTGCTGAATAGACAGAGGGCAGTATGAAGTGCTGTTACTATAGCTGTTGTTTGCTGCTGTTTGTACAGCCATCTTGCAAACCGTCTGGGTCTTGAAGTCATTTAATGATAATAAGTTCCAAGTGCCTTGAATTAAAGGTCATTGCCTCCGGCATCTCAGTACAACTCTGGCTCCACTCTCGCGTTTTCATTACCTGCAGTACGGACTCCTGGCTGAGGGCGAAGGGCTGGTGAGACCTCGTGGCCTCAAGGTCCAGGGATAGACTCAAAACTCCCTTCCTCCTCCCATCAGCTTCCCTGTGCTCTAGAACCTCTGGTCTGTGCTCCAGGCTGCAGATGTGACAGCGGCCACCCGGGTGTGTTTGCATTTCCTGTGACATGGCCCTGACACTAAAAGCCTCTCTACAAAACTTGGCAGGAGCCAAGAGTCCTAACAAACAAAGCTTGTATGCAGGGCTCGGGGAGCAGAGGGGGCATCCTCGATTAGGGATGGAGGGCAGGGGTGTCTAGCTAGAGATGCAGCTGGTCCCTCAGTAACATACTTGCACTCCCTGTCCAAGGACATTATCTGGAAAATAAACACATTTTAAAATAACTTTTCTCCCTGTAACTCTAAACAGCCTTTATGGTGATGATAACAGTGGTTTGTGGCTGCATTTGAAAAAAAAAAAAAAAAGGAATTCTTTTTTAAAGACTCCATTATCTCTGTCCTGGAACATTGCAAAAATCTCCACACTCTTCTCCCTCCTCCCACTGCTGGCCCTGCATCCAGCCTCCTCTCCCTGAAGCAGCCAGAGAGATCTTCATGAAACACAAAATCTTCCAAACAGTGTCCTTCTTCATTTCCCATGAAATAAGGTGCCACTTCCATGTACTCAGAGGCCGGTGGTCTGGCCCTGCCCAGCCCGACAACTCCATCCTGGGCCCTTCTCTCCCTGACACCATGTCCTAGCCTTCTGTCCTTTTTTTTTTTTTTCTATTGAGGTATAACTGACATACAATATCTTATTAGTTTCAGGTACACAACATGGTGATTGCATATTCATACACACTGTAAGATGGTTACCACAATAAATCATGTCACCATCTGTCACCTTACAAAATTAATACAATGGCATTGACTATATTCCCCATGCTATACATTCCATCCCCCTAACTTATGTTCGTACTTCTTAATCCCCTTCATCCATTTTGCCCCCCTCAATCCTCTTTCCCTCTGGAAATCAACAATCTGTTCTCTGTATCTTTGAGTGTGGGTTTTGTTTTATTTTGTTTTTGAGATTACACATTTAAGTGAAATCATACAGTATTTGTCTTTCGCTGTCTGACTTATTTCACTTAGCATAATACCCTCAAGGTCCATCCATGTTGTTGCAAATGATAAGATTTTGTTCTTTTGTAGGGCTGAGTAATATTCCATTGTGTATGTTACCACACCTTCTTTATCCATCCATCAATGGACACTTAGATAGTTTCCACATTTGGGCTACTGTAAATGATGCTACAATGAACACAGTGGTACATATATCTTTTCAAATCAATGCTTTTGTTTTCTTTTGGTAGGTACATAGTAATGGAATTGCTGGATCATACAGTAGCTCTATTTTTAATTTTTTGAGGAGCTGCCATACTGCTTTCCACAGTGGCTACACCAACTTAACATTCCCACCACCATCATAGAAGGGTTTCCTTTTTTCCATATCCTCACCAACACTTGTTATTTCTTGTCTTTTGGACAGTGGCCATTCTTAGAGATGTGAGGTGATATCTCTGTGGTTTTGATTTGCGTTTCTCTGATGACTAGCAATGTGGAGCATCTTTTCATGTGTCTGTTGGCCACTTGTATGTCTTCTTTGGAAATATGTCTATTCAAGTCCTCTGCCTATTTTATCTGACTGATGTTATTATTGAGTTGTATGAGTTCTTGATCTATGTCTTTCAACACTCTGAGCTCAGGCCTAGCTCGAGGCCTGAAAGCACACTGTTTCTTTGCCTAGAAAGCTCTCCCTGGGATCCTTACTTGGCTGGCCCCTTCTCATCCCACAGGACTGAGGTTAAAAACCTTGTCTCCTTTAAGATACTACCTAGAATCTGTCTGTCCTTTTATACTGAATCTTCATGCCCTGTTCTTTTCATGACATTTATCCTGAAATGCAATTATTTTCTTCTTTGTTTACTTACTTTCTGTGCATCACACTAGAATATAAGTATGAGCAGACACAACAGCTCTCTCTTGGCTTGTCTTCCCAGAACTGAGCACAGTGCCCGCCCAGAGGAGGCACTCAATAAGCTTTGGTCAAATGAATGGATGAAAAAATTAACAGAAATAGTCCATTTACTACACATGTACTTTATTTTAATAAAGCAAACAAAAACATGCCAACTCATATGGCTTATGGTCCTGGTTTTGGCTTCTAGCACAGTGGATGGCAGAGCCCTGTTCTTCACAGAGCAGACATTCAGTTTACACTGGGGATGATGGTGATGATGACGATTCAACAGTGACAACCCACATACTGGCCCAGTGCTACCAGAGAAGAGCATGAACCTACCACCAGCTTCAAAGGCAAAGCGCTACGGGTCTCTAGGGCAAGGCTTCTGGGCCATGGTTCTGTCCCACTCACTGATTCACTGAAACCACAATAATGAGCAACACAGAGTGACAGACTTGACTTCAAATATCTGAAAATCCAAAAACTAGGAGAAAGGGAGTAATACATACATAGAAGAAAAAACCTTAAAGAAGAAAGTGCCAGGTGCCTGAGGTGTCAGCAACAAGAAGAGATCCCTCTACCGAGCTTGGTGGGGGGCAAGCAGATCGAGAAAGGCTTCACGGGTCAGGTGGTACTAGGGCAGAGCCTAATAGGAGAGTGGAATTTGTACTCATGGAGATGGAAGAAGAGGTGCACCAGAGAAGGGGCACAGGGCGAGCAAAGGCAGGGAGGGAAGAAGCTGAAGAAGAGAGGGAGAAACAGAGTAGTGGGAAATGAGCCTGAAAACTAGATTCAGAGCAGAGAGGGGAGGCCCAGGGTCACATCATTTTGGATTTATTTAGTAGGAAACAAGTGTTTTAGCTAAGTTTTGAAATAAGATAGTGACACAAGCAGAATTTTATTTCAGGATGAAAGGTCAGTCCGCAGGGTAGGACACACTCAGGAGGGAAAGGACTGGCGACAGGGCAACGCACAGCAACTGTTTACTCATGCATCCATTCAGCAGATATGGACTGTGCACCTACTATGTACCAGGCACTGTTTGGGTGCTTGAGATATCAGTGAACAAGACAAAGACTCCTGCCTTTGAGGAGTTTCTATTCCACTAGAGGAAAACAGAAAATAAACAATAATGTGGTATATCAGTAAATCACAAAGCATGATAGATGGTGATAAAAGCTATGGGAAAAAGAGAAAGGAAAGGAAAGCAGAGTGAGAGAATCTGGGGGGCAGAGAGCACAGGCTGCAGCATCACATACGGTGGTCAGGGTCGGCTTCCTAAGGAAGAGACAGGCACAGAAAGCTGAAGAAGGTGAGGGTGGGAGCCAAGGAGATGCCTGGGGAGAGGACTCTGCAGGCGGAGGAGGCAGCCAGCACAAAGCCCAGAGCACGAGTGCGCCTGATGGGTCTGAGAAGCTGAGGAAGGTTGTAGGCCTGGAGCAGAGGGAGCATGGAAAAGAGGAAGCCGCTGAGTCAGGGAAGGCAGAGGGCCTTGACTCTTACTCTGGAGAGCAGGAGCCACTGCAGGGTTTTGAGCAGAAGAAAACAGGATCTGACTTAATATTTTAAAGGCTTATGTTCAGCCATTAGCAGGGAACCATTTAGCAAGCCATTGCCAACAATTCATACGAGAGATGAGGACGGCCTGGATCAGGGCGGTAGCGGCAGACATGGTAAACAAAAAGGGCTATGCTCTGGATTTATGTTGTGGGCAATCAACAGGAGTCCTGGCGAATTGGATGTTGGGTGCAAGACAAAGACAGGAGTGCAAGCTGGCTCCAAGGTGTGTCAGACATACAAAGGTTACAGTTAGTAAGAACTAGTAGTAGGGCTGTAGCTCTGAGAAGCGGAGGCAGGGACAACTAGAAGCCATGTTGTTCCATGGAAAAGATGTGACCAAATGTCTGAACACAGGAAGAACAGAGAAGGAGGCCAGATGCACTGATTCATTCAATGTCTTTACTGAGACGTGACTCTGCTGGGTGCACGCAAGGCTCCAAGGGTACTCTGGTGAACAGCATGGTCCCCGACTCAATGGACCTCACAGACTGGAGGTACTTATGAAGCAAATCAAAAATTTAACTGCTATAATTTAATTATGTTAGCAAATTAATATGAAAATATTAAATTGGATATGAAATTAATAAATATGTAATGTTATATAATATGTATTAACAAAATATAAATCTTAACTGTAATTATTCAATTACATTTAGTTATTCATACTATTGTTCAATATTTTTATTAATTAATATTATTACAATACTCTGTCCCAACCATTGTATTTAACAATGGGGATTCAAGACAAGTCAATCAGGAATGGTCTTGAATTTGCACCATTATAGTCCTGCATGGTGACAGCCTTATTGATGCTATGAACAGAGGATGGTGAACCAACAGGGACAGGAGCCACAAACCCTGCCTGAGGGTGACTTCTAAAGTAGCCTCGGGGGAAAGGATGGTTGGGGTGAGGAAGCGGGTGAGGCGAAGCAGACAACCCCACGCCTTCCAGCCTGAACTGGGGACTGCCTGCTTTGGGCGAGTGAGGATTCCATCTGCTTTGCTCACCATCATGTCCCCAGGACCTAGCACAGTACCTGGCACACAGCATGCTCAAAAAATACGCCTTGATGATGATGATGGATGAACAGAGAGATCAAAGAAAAGGAGCACAGCCTTTTGGGGGCAGGATAAATCAGAAAAGAATTTGCAAGTTTCCCGCAACAGTGCTACGGGGCAGTTTGAGACCCCGCCCTGGCCCTTAGGAGGGCCCAAGCGGTGCAAGAGTCCTGGAGACACCATGACCATATCCGGTGGCATCCCCCACGGCAGGCACAAAATACCTGTATTTCCTGGATGCTTTCCTCTTCTCTGGCATCCACCTTCTTCTCTACACCCTCACCGCGGAGCAAGGCTTCCAGGGTGGTGCTTTCAGAGGTGAACCCGTCCTTCTTCAGGGGCAGCTCCACTTCTAAAAAACAAGGACGGAAAAGCAAGGTCAGGCCCTAGACCCAGGAGGGCAGGAAGGGCGGCCTGTAAGGGCATAAAAACGCAGACGGCCTGCGCTCGCTCCTCCATCTGCAGCGAGAACACTGGGGTTGGGTCCAGCTTATCCATTTCCAGTTCTCAACCCCAGAGATCAGCTCCAGCCCTGAGTGCATCCCAGAAACGGCAGAGGCAGGGCAGAAAGGGCACCAGACGGACATGGGGGCAGAAGGCCTGGGTCTCAGGCCTACGCTGCCATTCTCTGGCCCTGTGGCTTTGAGCAAGACACTCCAGGACCCCAGAGCCCTTTTCTGCACCTACAAAGTGAGGGTCACAATGCCCAGTGCCCCACAGGGCCGTTTTGTGAGCACAAACATGTCCCTTTACATTAAAGGGCTTTGCAAGCTCTGAGCAGTATACCAATGTTGGCCTCAAGTCTTCCTGCCCTCTCCTTTACCCCAGCCCTTGTCTGGCAACTCCACGACCTCTCCTTGGCCATACTGGCTGCCCAGCCCCAGTTCACTCCATGAAAAGCTATTTCAACCTTGGAGAGGCTATACCCACCCACTCACCAGGGAGGCAAAGGCCTCTGAAGCCAAGGGAAGGGAAAAAGGGAACAGACTGCGAGCTCTCCCAGGAGTAGGCAGAGGGGTCTTTACCACTGCTGGTCCTGGAGGGACAGAGGCTGCTGTTTGCAAGAACCCCAACGGAGGGCCACAGCAGAGCCCCGGGGAAACCTGTGGCCTGGGCCAGGGGAGTCCTGCCTCTGTGAACTCCTGGGTGAGAGAAAGACCCAAGGCAAGGAACACAGAGCCCAGCCCCGCTCTCCTTCCTCCCTCATCTTCCTGCTCTGCCCTCCCACTGGCCAAGGCAAGGGAGCCTCATGGTGAGCACACTGCGGTCAGCTTCCTGGGCACAGGGCAGTGTAAAGGACAAAAAGTGGATCTAGGAGAGCAAATGGAACATAACCAGTGCAATCAAGCCCTGATTCACTGGGATTTACTCCAACTCAAATGGACCTCTATGTACCCCTTCCATCACCACCCTAACCAGATGTGGGGTAAGCAGTCCACAAGGAAGGGCACTCCAGTGTCCCATTAAAACTAAAGAAGCGCACACCCATGCATGACCAGCCTCCAGGAGATAGCGGGAAGGAAAAACAGTATCTAAAATCCCTGGAGACACAGGTCTTTAGGATTTTTCTTATCAAAACAAGCAAAGCAGAGGACCCACCTCCACAAAGAAGCACTACCAACAAACCAAGCCTCTCTGAACTCTTCCAGCCATCTATTCATTCACAAATTTACTGAGCACCTACATGACATCCTCTGTGCTGCCACTAGACACACAGGAGATGAACCAGAGACAGTCCAGGCCTTCAGGTGGTTTGCAATCTAGAATCAAAGAATAAACGCTAAATACAAAATCAATAAGCAATTACAAAGCATCCTAAATGCAGAGGAGAAACCAACAGAGTGAAATGTAAAGGAAGAATATAGTGGGGTTCTACTTTAGGTCAGGGGCTTAGAGGAGGCCTATGTGATGAAACTACACTTAAGCTTAGCATCAACAAAATAGTCAACTGTCCGCTTCAATGAGGTCAGAGCAGGTACCTCCAGAGTCAGCTCCCATGACACCTCACTCTTTCTCCTGATCACAGAAGGCTTCCAAACATCTAATCTAAAACAATTAAAGCAGGTTGTCTCATGTCCTGCCCTCCATCAAGAGAGAACAGCTGGTCACCATCCCTCAAACTTATAATAATCATATATATATATCTGAAGCTCCTGTTTCAGTATTGCACTTAGCCTTCTCAACACTAAGTAAACCCTTTCTCTAGAACTGCACGGCACTTTAAAGCTGAAAAAGGCCTTACAGATCATCTGCTTTAATATTTCCTCTTACAAGTGGGTCACCTAAGGCTCAGAGATGTTAAGTAACTTCACCGAAAGCCACACAGCAGAACAAGAATGCAGCCAAATGATCTTTTCCAGACACTGCTAAGATCATGACAAGGGCCCCACTTGTTGCATCCTTATTAGGAATTTGCAGGCCCAGGCTGAACCCCCATAAGCGCTGATATGTTTGTGTACAGGCTTGGCACAGAGTAACACTCAAAATGTGACGACTGTTACTACAGTGTATCGCTTAATCCCCACTGCCACCCAAAAGGCAAGTTCAGTTACTAGCTCATTACACAGATAAAGATGCTACAACTTAGGGAGGTCTAGACCTTGCTTAATATCATACAGCTGGGGAGGGATAAGTCCAGCCTTGACCCCAATCTGCCTCCAGAACCCTTTCACCTAATCTCAGGGTTGTACAGACTTCACCTTGCCTCTCTTTGGTTCCCTTGAAAAGTCCTTTTCCAAACCTTTGCACATTGTCACTGCAGTTCTAGACTGTCTCCAGAGTTTTCATATTTCAAGATGAAAGGCTGATCTTTGCTGAAGCTGAGGCAGGTCCGTGTCACAGCTCTGGACTCCGCTGTATGTGAACAGCCGTAAGCAGCGAGCACCCTTCTGCAAAGGACTGACCCCACACAGAACTTCCCATCAGCTGTGCACTTCCCCTCCTGCTCTTATTCCTTCCTCCTGCTAAATATAGTCCTTCATCCTCCTTTCCCATAATTCAATCTACTCTTCTGGTCCTCTGCTCCCTTGCCAGATGGGCACCGTAGAAGAATCAAGAAGGAAATGAAAATGACATGGGGACAGTGTAATGGCCCCCTACATGCGAAGAGCTCCAAGGGACCTCCAACAGAGTTCAGACCCCAACCCCTTAACAAGGAAAGCGGAGCGCACAAGGGTAAGGAGACTTTCCCAGGGTCACAGAGAAAGGGAGTGGCATCATTCTTACCTAATTACCAAAACATTTCGTTGGCTCATAGAAGTTCTGCCTCCAGACAGTCCTGGAGTCAAGCCCTAGGCTTGCCATGTTCAGGCACCACAAGTTTGTTTCTTAAACGTAAGTCTCTGTTTCCTTATGTGTTAAATGGGGACAATCACAGTTTTATTTCATAGGGTTAGTGTGAGAACTAAACACAGTAATACACTGCATAAAGAAACTCTGAAAAGATCCACCAGAAAATGAGTGTGTGAAACAGTGGGAAATGAGCTTCTAAACTTTAATTTTATTTTATTTTTCTATTCCAAACCTCTGTATGATCAAAAGTGGATCATATATACAAAAGAACCTGGGATGTTCTAGGTGCCCTATAAATGCTACATGCTGTTACTATCAAAGTTTGAATAATTTTTATTTTAATGGTACAGTAGAGCTATCCAATAGAAATATAATGCAAGCCACCTACATAATTTTAAGCTTTCCAGTGGCCACATTTTTAAAATAAAAAGCAACAGGTGCAATTAGTTTTATTAGCATATTTTCTCTAACCTAATACATCCAAGACATTATCATTTCAACATATATAAAATCAATTGAACCAATATAAAAACATAAATCAGTATTTTACATTTGTTATTAGCATCAAGTCTTCAAAATCTGGTGGGTATTTTACACTTAGAGCACATCTCAATTCAGATTAGCAGCATTTCAAGTGTTCCATAGCCACATGTGACTAGTGGTTACTGTCTTAGCACAGGTTTTTAGCATCATTTACTATCAGTTCGCTTCACAAAAAATGGAAGGACTTAAATACGGTTTTTAATGTTGCCTACTGAACACCCAGTTGAATGCCATTCCAGGACAGCATTCTAGCTGACCCCTGGCAAACCCTGGCTCCAAAGCATTATGGGTAAGTCTGGCAAGGTCAGAGTGACAGGCTAACCAGTGCCCTCCCAACAAACCAGCAGACAGTACATTCTCTGGCTTCTGACACAGGAGGCCCCAGAATGAAGGGAAAAATAGGCTAACAGGTCCAAGTTCTTACACAATGTATGTCCTAGACACACTCCCTATTGAGTCCTTAGGGATGTCATCGATTGTTTTATTCTAATACATCTCATCTGGACATAGGATTTAGTAATTCTTTATAAGCATATGCATTTTGACCCTCCCACAAATTTGGGGACCACATAAAATGACAGGAGCCATCAAACATTTAACATTAAAAGAAAATGGCCCAAAACACACACATAATTCATCTTTAAATTAGCCTGATTTTATACACAGGGATATAAACCCACGGATCGTTACTCTCTCCAGAGCGGCAGCAGCTGTCACCCAAGCCAGCCGCCTCCCTAGGCCCCTGTAAGCAGCTCTGCCTCCACTTCTAATTGGGAACAGAGATACTCCTTGGGTGACTTCCAGCACGATCCATCACACCAGAGACAGCTTCTGTGCAAACCGAAGCAAATCGGTTTCCAAATAAGAAAAAACCTCTTAGACAAACAAGGATTGAAGCATACAGAGTCTTTAAAAAAAAGAAAAGAAGAGAGAAAAAGCACAAATACAGAAGAAAAAAAATGCCAGTGAAGAGCAATGGCTTCTCTCCAGAGCTGTGAACAGGGCAGCCATCCTCTGCAGTGAAGATCAAAGCCACAGGCTTTTGACACAGGTGCCCCAAGACTGCCACCCAACACACCGAAGGCAAGGTTTCCACTGGGCTGCTAGAACCACTGAGCTCATTAACAGGATGCAGGAGAGATGAGCCTGAAAGTGCAACAGGGGAGCACACTGAGTAATTAAATCCCAGGTCATTTAAAAATGCAAACGCCTGGATGTCACAGACTCATGGAGGCTCTTACTCCCTGTGCTTTTTGGCTCAGGGTAGAGGACTGGGACCCTGCAAGTCATATATGGATTATAATAAAATATGCCACATACAAAACAGATTAAGACAGTTCTTCTTTGGGGAAATACACAAAGAGAGGAGCTGTCTGTTAGCTGTCGAGTTTGCAACAGATACTATCTTTCCGGAGGCTGTGCTCTGCCAACAGAGAGACTGCCCCAAGGGAAATCGTGGTGAAACACCCCGACAACGCACATCCATCCGTCCATCCATCACGGGCCCTCTCCGACGCA